ATTGAGCTCTCTCTTTGATAGTAAGTTTTTCATTCCTTTTATCTGGTACAAGAGCCTTGATCTGGTCTTCTTTGAATAAGCGTCACTGAAGAGCTTCTTTTATGCTTTTACGAGCTTTCCAATCTGGTAACATAGCACCGAGTTCACTAGCGTAGACATGTAATTGTGATGGATTAGATTCGGTGGATAGGTTATATTTTTTTAGGATCTGGTCCAAAATGGAGGTAAAATTATTAGTTTGGGGCTTTCGGATTTTTGAAGCAGTGTTCATGATAATATGTATATCGATAAGTAGATTGCGATATATTTATTACCTATTATTTTTCAAATTTAAAATTAATTACCCGCCCTTCTTCATTCATAGATATTAGCTATGCAAGAAAGATTTCTACTTATTATTATGAATCGGAAACTCGAACCCTTACTTCCTCAGGTAAGTCGGATATATTGCTTCCAACTAATCATTAATTATTATTTCAGATAATGGGGATTTTTGTCGTCTCTTACAATAAGTGTGGGAAAAAATTCAAATCGAAAAATTATCACGTATGCGTTCTGACTCGCAACGCCGATCACACTTGGCATTTTTCAGCGAACATTGTTCTGTGAAATTTTGCAGATCACTTGTTAGATTAATGAAGAATTGAATACTATTAATAACATTATAATAAAACAATGACGAATACACAATACACAATCGAATCATTAAGAGAATTGAATTCCAGGCTTGTTCTTCAGATCGATGAAATCAGAAAGAAGTTCACAGAGATTGAAATCGAGAATAACGAAATTAAAAAGAAATATGTAGAGGTTGAAGCCGAGAATACGGATCTAAAAGAAATAATAAAAGAAAATGTCAGGCGTGAAGCTGAGATCGATGAAATCAGAAAGAAGTTCACAGAGATTGAAATCGAGAATAACGAAATTAAAAAGAAATATGTAGAGGTTGAAGCCGAGAATACGGATCTAAAAGAAATAATAAAAGAAAATTCCAGGCGTGAAGCTGAGAGTATGAAGCTCAAAGCTAGAGTTGAGGAACTAGAACGGTATAAAAAAGAAAATGAAAAGCGATTTGAGAAATTGGAATGTATCCGATCCAGTTATAAACCATTGTATTGATACTAATACCAAATCATTAGATGATGATACCAGGAAAATTAATCAATCTTTAGTTAATATTATCCTTTGTGAAACAAATTCTGATGATACTTCTGAACTGATAGATGAACAATGTGATGATACCCCCGCATCTGATACATTTGATAACACTTCAAATTGTGATTTACGTCATGAGTCTTTAACTCGATGTTCTGCACCATCTAACCACACAGAGTCTGAATCGTTAAAAGATAAGGAAATGAATAATATAATTGATTTTCCGGTTGAAAGAGATAATGAAGGGATTCGTAACGAAATAAGAGAACGAAATAGGGGGGAAAAGCTTCAAAGTGAGGCACCTACTGGAAATTCTCCGAAAGAGGACACTTACGCATCTAATATTAAATCTAGTGTTCCTTCAAATCAGAAAAAAGAGCGAGGTTTAATACAAGAGATATCTATTAAAGATCAGAATAATATAACTGAAATTTCATCAAACAATATTCCTCAAAATCATGTGCCCGAAATAGATTATTCTACTTCAGATAAAGACATAATCTGTTTATATCAAAATGCATGCGATGCAGAAAAAGATGCTATAAAAGCTAATCGAGAAGAAATATTATGTTGGTGTTTCTATGCTAAAAAGTCTAAAGGTATGGTTAAAGATTTTATGGCTAATGGAAAAGTCGGGGAAAAAAAAGCAAAAGGTCAAGTATATGATTTTATTATCCAACAACTTCCTAATACAAAGCGTGAAAACTTATGCAAACAAACGCAAAAAGCTTTAAGAGTTTATAATTTATTCGAAAAAATAGGAATGGATAAAATTCAATATATCAAAACTTATACTGCAGATAGTATTTCGAGATTTACTAATCTACAGATTCAAACAATTATTGATCATTTCGCTAAAAAGCCTGTCATAGAATTCACCGATAATCAAGACAATTCTTCAGATGACTTACCCGCCGGAGAAGCAAAGCTTCGAGTTTCCAACTCAACTGAGGCGAGTAATACATCTATTCTATCTAATTCTGAAACAATTCCAGTGGTATCAACAGAGATACAAGCAAGCGTGTTCGATGATTCTTTAGATTCTAACTTAAACCCCCTTGAGAGTAATGAGGATAATGAAAATGTTGATGATGATGAGGATGAAGACGATGATGATAATGAGGAATCTTCTGATGATGAGGAGAAGGAATCTTCTGATGATGATGAAGATGAAGATGCTGGATATTACTACGATTTAAATAGCGGTAAAACTTATAAAAAACAGATCGTTTAATCACCACATGTGACATTGGTATAGAACTGGATAATTTTAATATACAAGTATTCCAGAATTTAAGGGTCGTACACAAATGTTTTAAAAAATAAAGAATTCGTTGATTCATTTTATTTAATGATTTATATTTCGATAATAAGATACAAGAATAATTAATATTTTTTTACGAAAACTGGCAGAGTTGCAAGGGAGAGAACGTACGGCCCCTAGACCATTTAATGTACGCCCCTTTACTTTGGCTCTACCAGGCGAAAAAATTATTTATTACTATTGTTATAATCAAATATTTCGTTGGCATTATTATCTTCGTAATTACTACTACTTATAAGTTTATTTTTTTCTTTAGTTTTAAACGCAATCCAAGTCACACCATGTAATAGCAACATATTTTTGTTTCATAAAATAAGATAAGGTTCTGTCGAATTATTGGTAACTATTTTTTCAGATTGAAAATTGTGAGTGTCTATTTCATTATCCGAGATTATATATTTTTCGTCCAGCCCTTACCCGATAATACAATATTTATGTTCAATCCCTGATGCAATTTCTGGCAAAATGATACAGAATGTTTTGGTAACAATGCACAAGATGGGTAATGTAAAAGTTTACTTTGCTAGTTTCCATCTCTAGTTACCTTAATATCATGTTCAAATTTCGCAGTCTGCTCGACTCTAGCCATAAGTTTGGCATTCTCTTGTCTTAATAAATCTAATTCGGATTGCATGATCGATAATAATTTTTTTATATAATAATAAGGCATATATTTTGTCTGCAATATACAACTGCAATGTATTTTTTTATTTGTATGTTATTTCAGCATCATTTTTATACTAAAAGTTCTACAGAACCAGGCACGAAGTGGTATTATTTTGGCACCATGTATCAGCTCTGTTAAAATATGGTTTTATAATCATGTGGTAATTTATGAGTTGTAGACTCTCATTTCATACTTGTAAACATTGGTTTCGATTTGCAAACATACATAAATGGCAAGAAAAATCGGCATAATCTTTTTATTTTTCTAACACACCACATAAAAAAATAATGATTTTCACAAACCTAATTTCAAGATTTGGTAATCCATTCATTCATAAAAATAAAGGTCTTGTGGGACGCATAATAATAAGCCTGATGTAGGTGAACAGATATTTTGTTTATTCGATTACTATGCCCATTAATACATTTTAATCATTATTTTAATAAAAAACGAAAATTAAAGTAAAACAGTTATATTGTGTACTAATTTCCTTTCTTCATTCCTCAGTCATCATCACTTTCTTGTAGTTCCTGGCGGTGCAGATACAACGCGAACAACCGAAATTTTCTTTATGGTATTATTATTTAATTTGTCTAAATTTCTTTTATCAAACCTGATTTGTCATCTGGCAGACCCCAATAGTGCTTAGAAATTCCTGGTTCGTTATCTGGATTTGGTCGATCAGGACGAATTTTGGCTTTATTCCGAAGTTTGAGATAGGCGTCTCTATCACAGCTTATTTCAACAACTTTTGGTTTGTCCGAAGGTTTACGTTTATTCGCCCATCCAATTACTTGGCTACGATTTTCACCAAAATATTTTTTTTCTTGACTATCAGGAAGCTGATGTGGAAGAGCTCCATTTTCAATGGTATCCTGTTGTTCAGTTTCACACATGTTACGATATATATTGACACTCTTCTTGGGTAAATTAAAGTCTACAGATTTTCTCCTATATTTATTATCATCGTTAAGTGAATTTTTAAATTGTTTAGCAATTGTTTGATTAGCAGCTGAAGAAACTTGCTTTAGTTTCTTTTTCGATGTCAAAGGAACTTGCTTTGTTTCCCTTCTCGATGTCATTTTATTAACAAAAAGTAAGTCCAATGGACCATGCTTTATATACAAATAGCTTAAATGATAGACCGAAAATGGTAATTCATTGTAAATGTCGCTTAAATGGTAGACCGAAAATGGTAGACCGAAAATGGTAATTCATTGTATATGCATTTTAAATGTATCAGCTGATGTAACAATTGTAAATGATGGTAATTCATTGTATATGCATTGTAAGTGTATCAGCTGATCTAACAATTGTAAATGGTGGAATAATGGAATTAAAATATTTAGAGCTTATAAAAAATTGAATGTGTCTCAATACTTTGATATAATACGTCATTATACATAAGATGTTAATACATATGTCTCGCAAATCTAAAAATAACAGACGCAAAGGTATGATCCAATTTTTTGATCCAAAGTAATACGCAAAAGTGATACGCAAAAGTATGATCCAATTTTTTTGATCCAGAGTAATACGCAAAAGTATAATCCGATTTTTGATGTAATGTATCCAATTTTTATAGTGATACGCAAAAGTGCAAACAAATTTTTTGATTCGGTAGTACGTAAAAATATGATCCAAATTTTCGATCCAGTAATACGTCAAAGTGCAATCATTATTTTTTATATGGTGATACGCAAAAGTAAGAATAAATTTGATTTGGTGATACGCAAAAGTGCTATAAATTTTTCGATAGTAAAATGACAAAGCATAGGTCGATTTTTTGACAAGAAAAAATGATACTCAAAAGTACTAACTACGCGAGAAAGCTTTCTAGGAACCCAAAACATAGTATACTTTCGGTGATACGCAAAGGTAGAATAATATAAGGAAGAAGTAAGAAAAATTGTGCTTTTGCGTATCACCAAGTGAGATAACAATTCGGCACTTCGTACCTCATCCTCGATTGGTATTCGAATGCATCATGCAAAACCAGATCATGAATACTATTTCGGCACTTCGTGACTCATCCTCGAACTCGAATGTGACATACAAAGCCAAAATACGGATTGCCAATTCGGCATTTCATGCCTCATCCTCCGCAATCGAAAAAGTTGGAAGTTCGCCTGGGAAATGTATTGTTTATAGTGATATAAGAAATGTGTATTTTTTACGAATTGGTTAGACCAACATGGTAAAAAAGAATAGAACTTGTGAACGCTGTAGCTATACATGTGCAACACCTCAAAAGCTTCGTTCGCATCTCAAAAGAAAAAACCCGTGCAGACCTCAATTTCGTAAGCATTTTCCTGGAGTGGTACTTATAGATGATCGTCCACATGTGTGGACGATGGACACGAATGTTACATGGCGGAGTCTGAAAACGCAGAAATCAGACGCCTTCTTAAATATATACTCCGTCCATCAATCCGCAATCAATACTGGACACATATTTTTTTCATCCAAATGACAGCACAAACTCGAAGACGCAGACGACCACGAAATAGTCTAATTTATTAATAATTACATCATTGCGGATTTGCAAACCAGGATGCTTTGCATCCAGTTCGAGCATAGCCCTCACAATCGGCACTTCGTGCCTCAGCCTTGGGTGATGAAAGCAATCAAAGGGCCAAAGAAAGCCAAAAACCTCATGTAGAGCTATATGAGCCAATTTCTAACATGGCACATAGTTTTGTCAAGATGATTAACGTTGGTGAAAGAATCATTGTAAATAATGTTAAAGGTTATCTCCAGGTTTGTAATTAATAATAGTGGTGATGATTCTAATGGTATTGATGTAATTATTATTAAAAAAATTTATTTTCTTTTTTAGTCACGAATCGTTTATTATTTAATGAATTTACATATTTCAACAAGAATAATTTATTTTGCACGGGTATACAGAGAGATACACATATATAAATCCATTTATTTGTATAAATCACTTATGTTAATCTTGTTATTACAATAGAGCGGCGAGTCAACGAATGATTTATCACAAAAGTTTGATCCAGGGTTAAATTCGGCTGGAATACGTTATGCTAATAAATTAAAAAAATTTTTATTAGAATTAAGAGAAAAAGAAAGGAAACAAAGAATCGAACAAGGATGGGGCGATTACGAAAGACCGTTGACAGTTATTATCTATATAATTATATTATTTATTTCAAAAAGTTTGATTTCCTTTTAGGAAAAAAAAAGGTTTTTATATTTTATATTCATAATAATAATAGATTTGGACATCACCACGTCAAAGATCAATTCAAACAGCTAAAGTGTTTGAGAAAGATGGAGGTTACAATGTACGACAGCATACTTTATTGGCAGAATTAAATTTGGGTGAGGCAGATGATATGACAGAAGAAGAAATTAAGGTAAATAAAATAAAATTTAGATACATATTATTAAAAAAAAAAATTTTCAACAGTATTTTAATTCATTAATTGAATGTATACATACATACATACATACATACATACATACATACATGTATAGAATAAATTTCCAGATGATTATATAGGACGAAAAAAAGATTTATACAATCATCGATATCCTAGAGGAGAGGTAAACAATTCTTTTGACTGTTATGTGTTATTTGATTTTGGTTATTGTGTACTTTTAATACATGGTATAATAATAATAACGATATACTATATATATTATCTTTTTTTAGTCATATCATGATTTAACGCTTCGACTTGAAGCAATAATTTTGGAACTTGAGCATGAAAAAAATGATGTATTAATTATTGCTCATGAAACCGTGTTGAAGATCTTGTATGCTTATTTATTTGATAGACCACAAGATGTAAGATTTTTATATTGCATTTTCATTTTATTTTCATGTTCTACATACAATTACCTATTATCAACATCTTCATTATGTAATTTAGGAAATACCAACTATTGTAATACCAAAGAATTATTTAATTGAAATAATTCCAACAGCATACGGATGTCGAGAAAATAGAATGCAGATTTTTGATAATGATTCATTTGATGTACCGATATTATCAAGTCTAAATCGTTAAATAAACAAAACTAATATTGATAATGATTATTATTTATTTATTAAAAAAAAGATAGAATATTATCGAATATTATTGTTATTAATAATTATTATGAATATTACAACGATTATCGAATTAATTATTAGATATTAAGAATATTATAATGATTATCGAATTATGATTAATATACAAATAATACCCCCAAACTAACAAAAAAACCAGTGATTAATATACAATAGTATGAGAAAATCCAACCCCCAGGTTTTTATGCTCATTATATTATATTACAATTATTATTACGATTAATATTGATAATTATGATTATTATTTTGTAACGTGTTTAATGGTGGCGTGTCGTTTCTTTCCAATAAAGAAATTGATTTATTTTTATATGGAAATATTATGGAAGATGTTGACGGTGAAATGTTATTATTTCTTAGTAGTGATCGTGGTGGCTTTGATGATGGTGGTGGTGGTAAGTTTAGTGAAGGAGGCGGTTGGTAAGGAGGCAGTTGGTTTGGAGAATGTATCGTTATTGGTGGTTGTAGCGAAGGTGGTGGCGGCGTTATAAATAAATTAGTTGAATTCTTGAATTTTTGAATTATTTTATCTTGCTCTTCGATTAGAGCATTTATGGCATTGTCATTGTCATTGTCATTATAATTATAATTATTAATTATTTCTGTGATATTTCCAGAAAACCTTTGTGCTCCCTTATTGTTATCGCTTTCAACATCTTCTTCCTCATAATACTCACTATCATCACTTGTTGTCATAGAAGATGATTGATCATTACTAACAATAACAATAACCTTACTCAATCTATTCAAAGTTTTCTTGGTTAGGGATAAGCTACCAAATAATCCTGTTATGTGGTATCTTGGGTAAATAATGAAAATTATCGTCACCCATAAAATCAAATTTCCAAAATTTGCTAAAACCGTTAAAAAATCTCTAAAAATAGCGTTTATTGTTATCATTTGCGCATTTGTTGATGTCGTTATTGCCATTTCTTCAATAAACAAAATTATAAAACCAATGCTAGTTAAAAGTAATCCTATCATAAGCAAACAGTTCATCTCTAAGAAATAGCTTATGCGTAGTGAGGTTTCTTGACTTTCAAGTGATTTTCGGTGGAATTTTTTTAGTAATTCTTTGAGTTTTATTCTTGTTCGGATCTGTTATTTGTTTTGAATATATTCGTGCATGTGTGTGAATAATAATAATTATTATGATTGTTATTGCTATTGTTATTGTTATCGCTATTATTATATCACTATATTTATTTTAACTTACCGCCAAGGAAAATATCAATAAAAGCACAATGGAAAAGATAAGGTTTGGAACAATCTAGTAAAAATATAATTGCATATTATTAATGTTAGATTAACACATCAATGATCTCACATTCCTATCTCTCATCTCATTCTACTCTCTGCAAAAATCAACCTACTTCTGAAAGCAACTGATTGTCCTCTAGCATGTATCTCGGTATAGGAAATATCAGAATTGACAAAAAACTCCATAAAGTATACATTTTAAATTCACAAGAATTCATAAATGTCTTATCGCCCATTTGATCTGTTAAATGGCTCCAAAACGCCTGTAATAAAATTAGCGTGCCACTATTCACATTGATACAAAAAAAAATATATATTGTTATGATTATTATGACAATACCATGTAAAATATAAATCTAAATGATAGCTTACGTTTGTAAAGAGTAAATGGCACAGAGTAAATAGTCGGCCGTCTCTTTTAATATTTGATTTTCTTTAGACCAAATAATTTGTGATGAATTATTTGGATCTAGATAGGGCTTTTCAATATATTTATCTTCATTATGACCATCAGCACTAGTGCTTGTCAGTCCAATATGACCTTCTGAATATTTAATTTTGATCCATGATATATCATAAATCTATATTATTGTTAGCGAAAATGAGCGATAATTTGTTAGCGATCTTAGTGATGATGGTATTTGGCAACAATAATAATCCCTATAATAAATAATATTGTATGCATACGGCCATCATTGGAAATGCTATTAATAGCAAGGTTGTAATTATTGATTTTAATTCCATTGCTTTAATTTTACGCCATCTTAAATTGGAAAATTTATCTGTAGACCATACACGATGAACAAACCACATCCATATCCAAATTTCTGTGACTGCTTTTTCTACATTTTAAAGATCAAGAAAAAAAATAGATAAGAGATTTCATATTAGAGATTTACTCTACATTAAATAATCTTTCATTTTTTATTACGATACTTACCAACAAAGTAGAATTCGTCAAAATTTGAGATCATAGTTTTTTTGTTAATATTATCAAGATGATATTATATTATCCCTTCCTATTATTCCTTCTTTAAAAGTTATTCATAAAGATGCAAAAAAAATATATGATATAATGTGTGATGATGAATAATTAAGTGGGTAGGTGGATAGGCGGTCAGGCAGGTGGTAGTGGGTATGCAGGCGGGTGGTAAGTGGGTATGCAGGCGAGCAGGTATGAAGGGGAAAGATAGACAAATAAAAATTTACAAAGAAAAATTATAACTTATGACAAAAAAAAAGAATAAATCAGAATATTTACAAATGAAAGTAAAGAAAACTGCTAAAGAAAGAAAGAATATTTATTAAACTATTATTAACAAATAATGTCATCAAATTACTATATTATTTCGTGATTTTTAAAAATATCGTTAATGAGAAGTGAAAGAAGAAAAAGAGAGTAATAATATTTAATGTTCTTATTGTCGTGTATGGAAGAATAATTCAGAAAAAAAGAAGGTAAAAGTCGTGAAAAAAAAATTTTTATTAAAACCTGATCAAACAGAACATAAAAAAATAAATAAAAAAAAAACCATTTTACTATTTATATTTATACAATAAACAAACTCCTCTATTAACTCCGGATTATTAATGTGTATATGTATGTGTGTGTCAATGTTTACTGTTATATCAATTTATTTTTCATAGATTTACAAATTTGTTCATACAATCAAATTTAGTCGTGTATATGAATGGTTACATTGCCATAACTTGACGTCTCATATAGCCTTCAAAAAATCAATGATCAATGACAAAAAATATATTGCATCTCGTTGTTGTTGGTAACTATTAAACTGTAAAAAGAAAATATTATTAATAGACAAAAATTCCGTGCTACTAAAATTCACATATTGATAATATTAATTATGATGAGGATTGTCATTGTCATGCAAAATAAACGCCATTAATAATAATTTCAAAAATTCAAAATCGAAAAAATCTAAAATTTTTTCGGTTATAACCGATCAATTTTACTGTATTTATTTAAATTTGGCGAAAAAAAATTTTTCATGATTTTTATGTATATGGTAAAACCCTTTAATGATCATTTATCAGATACAAAACCCTTTGTCAAAAATATAAGGATTCTTGTTGATCATCGAAAATAATTGAATGGTGACATAAAAAATTTTATTATCCCAAGAATATTTGCCCATATCAAATAGTACAATATACTAAAGTTTTGCCACAATAGCAAGTTCTAACAACTTTTGTGATACAAGTAAAAAAATGCGTCTCATGTTTAAATCTAGTTACTTCTAAATTTTAGAAAAAAATAAAAACGTAGAAAGTTTTACGAAGCAGTTCAACCACTAATTGAATTGATTATATTATTAAAAAAAAATCGATATCTTGTCTAGGCTTCCTTTATTTTTTAAAACAGCATTAATTCTTTCCGGATTAATATTAAACCATTCCCATCTTATTTTTTGATTTTGCTCATTCTAAGTCAAGTGTTTCGATTGCTCTTTTGGATCTATCTGAGCTATTTCTTTATATGAAAATTGGCCATTTTTAAAGCCAATAATTTCTCCACGTTCAAATTCAGATAGTTGAGTAGTTTTGGGCATTTTAAATAAAATAAAACAATGAATTATCTAATTTAGAAAAGAATAACTCGTTTGAATATTTTGTATGACATTTTCGGTAATTAATTTACCCAATGCCCTGAAATTTTTTAAACATACATGAGACTTTACCACAAAGGTCATTAGAACCTGCTATCGTGGCCAAGGTGAAATTTTTTTAAAAATTTCCTTTTTTTACTTTTTAAGGTTTGTAAAACAACAAGTTGTTATTTATATGTGGCGAAACTTCAGTATATTATAATTATATTATTTGATAGGGATAATAAAAGTTTTATATTTTTCATGTCACTTTATTCATATACTACTGTGATAATAAGTGGTGTGACTATTTTGGGTATAGTAGAAAATTTTTATTATAAGATCAGGCAAAGAAAACAAAAAAATTTTAAAATATATAGAAAAACAAGCAATTGGTGATATAGAAAGTTTGTGTCCTTTCTATTTTAAGTAAATTTCTAAGAACCCTGCTTAATACTAATTTGACAAAATCAAGATTCAACTATGGGTTCATTAAGAATTAGTCAACAACTATAAAAATAATTTTTTCAATGGTTATTTATTATATATGAAGTTACATGTCTTATATGTATGCTAAAATGATTAAAAGGGTAAAATTTACTATAGTGCGGATCATCTACTACTCAAAAGTTAAAATTGTTGAAATATTATGTGATCCACACATTGGATTTTAAAAAACCACCACCATTCAATTCAGCTTTAAAAGGGTCTATTAATCTAAAAAAAAATTTGTCTCAAATTTTTTCTTTTCATATATTTTTTTAAATTTGAAAGTTATGCAACAATAATTTTCGTGTTACAATATTTTGAATCTCACGACCAAATTTGGTAATAACTTTATAAAAAAATATTCTATGAAAAAAAGTTGTTACACGAAATTTACTTAGTCTCAATTTCTTAAGTGTATATATAACAAAATTCGGAATTTTCAAAATGTTAATATTAAGGCTCAGCCAATTTTCAGTTTAAGAAAAAACCAGCCGATAAATTTTGAAGCTTGAGTCATGAAAAATAAAACTTAACGGTTAATTTTTTAAAATGAGATATTTTTTTTTGTTTTAGTGTATATTTTGAAGTTGACCAATTGTTATTATAATGATTATAGATGATCTGCGCCGTATTACTATATATATCCAGGGTTATCACGTGACTACCATCTATTGGTGGTTTTTTATATTTTTATAAACCACCATCGGTCTCGACGTTTCTTATTATTCTTAATACATTCGGCCAAGTCATCTTCTTTATATTCAAATATTATTTCAACCTTGTCTATACCTTCATTGTCATTACTAGAATCTAATATAATTAATTAATAATTGAAATTGTAAGTAATAAATTAGTGATTGGCAACTTTCAATTAATTTAATTTTACCTTGTGAACTATTATAGCTAGTTCTAGCAATATTATTTCTCTGTTTATTTTGGGGGGATTTTTTTGTTTTATTATTAGCATTACTTGTAGAAGAAATTATAGATTCACTATTTATATCTGCTAAACATTCAAACATCATTGTTTCTAAATTTTATGATTAGTTATTTATTGTTAACAATTTTTAACTTTTATAACCATTTAATGCAATGATTACCTTGATCTTCTTTAATATTAAACATTACTTCAGTCTCATCATTATCATCAGCCTCTTTGAACTTTTTCATGCCTTTTCCTTTATCATTATCATCATTACTAGAATCTAATATTAATTAATTAATTAAGAATAATTGAAATTATAAGCAATAAGTTAGTGATTAATAACTTTCAAATCAATAAGAATTTATTTTGTAGCTAGTTCTAGCAATATTATTTTTCTGTTTATTTTGGCATGATTTTTTTGTTTTATTATTAGCATTGCTTGTAGGAGGAATTATGGTTCACTATATCTGCCAACCATTCAAACATCATCATTTCTAAATTTTTGATTATTTATTAATTGTTAACTATTTATTATCTTTTATAACCATTTAATGCAATGATTACCTCGATCTTCTTCTTTAATATTAAACATTACTTCAGTCTCATCATTATCATCAACCTTTTTGAACTTTTTCATGCCTTTTCCTTTATCATTATTATCATTACTAGAATCTAATATTAATTAATTAATTAATTAAGAATAATTGAAATTATAATTAATGAATTAATGATTGGTAAGTTTCAAATCAATAAGAATTTAATTTACCTTGTGAACTTTTGTAGCTAGTTCTAGCAATATTATTTTTCTGTTTATTTCGGCATGATTTTTTTGTTTTATTATTAGCATTGCTTGTAGGAGGAATTATTGGTTCACTATTTATATCTGCCAACCATTCAAATATAAACATTTCTAAATTTTATGATTATTTATTTATTGTTAACTATTTATAACCATTTAATGCAATGATTACCTCGATCTTTTTCTTTAATATTAATTAATTAATTAAGAATAATTGAAATTATAATTAATGAATTAGTGATTGGTAAGTTTCAAATCAATAAGAATTTAATTTACCTTGTAAACTTTTATAACTAGTCCTAGCAATATTATTTTTCCATTTATTTCGGCGAGATTTTTTTATTTTATTATTAGCATTACTTGTAGGAGAAATTATGGGTTCATTATTTATATCTGCTAAACATCCAATAATTGAAATTGGAAGTAATAAATTAGTGATCGGTAACTTTCGATTAATTAATAAGAATTAATTTACCTTGTAAACTTTTATAACTAGTACTAGCAACATCATGTCTAATGTTTAGGCATAAATTTTGTATATTTTGGGAGGGTTTTTTGTTACATTACTTGTAGGAGGAATTATAGGTTCACTATTTATATCTGCTAAGCATTCAAACATCATTTCTAGTTAATTAATTAAGAATAATTGAGATTGTAAGTAACGAATTAGTGATTGGTAATTTTCAATTAATTAATAAAAATTTAGTCCACCTTGTGAATTTTTATAACTATTGTCTAGTTGTTTGTTTATTTTTATTTCGCTACTTGTTTTAGCTAAGATTAATTAATTATAAAAATTGCAAGTAATAAATTAAAATTAGTAATTTTCAATTAATTAATAAAACATTAATTCACACCTTCTAAATTTTTATAACTAGCAATAGCATCATCCAATATTTTACTTTTGTGATATGCTAATGAATGTGATCTCTGTATATTATTATTATCATCGTCATGATTTGAATTACTTGAAGTAGAAATTCTAAGTTCACTATTTATAGCTTCATCATTATAAACTTTTGTTAAACATTCCTCGGAAAAATCAAGTAATTTCTTTAATAGTTGGTCTATTATATGAATAATCGTCCCAACACTGGCACATCATTTCTACATATTCTCCTGGCATTCCTGACAATATTGGTGGCCGTAAACCTTCACATATATGTAACATTAAGAAATGATTATGAGCCCTATCATCAAATGGTGGATGGCCTGCAAATATCTCCCACATCAACACTCCAACGCTGTAAATATCCGACTCTTTTGTATGTTTTACTCCTCGGAAAATTTCAGGTGCTATGTATGGCACAATTCCATAAATTTTATTTGATAACTTTTCATCAATTGGTCCACATAATCCTAAATCTGTAATATAGCAACCACCCCCTGCTACTAATATATTACCACTGTGTAAATCACAGTGCATTAAATCTTCTTCATGTATATCATATAATGAGCAACACAAATAATTAAACATTATAATTCTGTCTCTTAATGTTAAATTAGAATGATTTTTTCGTAAATAATCCCTTAAACTTCCATCTGGAACATAATTTAAAACCATCGCATAATTTCCATTTTCTGGGAATTGTGTTATGCCATAATAATCAACAATCAAATTTGATTTAATTGTACAATAATCCAATATCTGAGATTATATATAATTGTATTCAATAATATAATATTTATCTTCATTTCGTTTAGAAGAAATTACTACTGACCTTATCAAAAAAACACTTTCCAATTCCATTCGATTCATTTAGTAATTTTAATACTACAATTTGAGATCCAACATAACTAAACTCTTCAGAATTTCCTCTTTTCAAATCAAAGATACGCCCTCTTGTCCATACTGCAGTATAAATACTACTAAACCCTCCTTTTGACAAATATTTTACATTTTTAAATTGATCATAAGGTATCCATTCCATTATACTACGTGGAAGAGATGAAAGCATTTGACATTTTTGTATAAATTCATCAACAATCTTATTTCCAGAAACCCAGATATTGAAACAACTTTTTAAACGTAGACCAATACAATGTTCACAAAACCTAATTGAATATTTTATAGACTTACACCGTTTACATTTTTTTGATTTGCCTATTTTATAAATTGCATTATTTAGTTGAAAGTCATAATTAAATCTTTTCTTACAATAACGTCTATGCTTTTCTGATAACTCATTGTTTCCAAGTACTAATGATAAAAATGTAGTCTTTTGAGCTTTTCTATAATTATCATTAATATCAATTGCTTCAGATTTATGGAACATTTGACTATGCTTCATGTGCAAATTTTTTTCTACTATCTTTTGCTATAACATTTTCAGCCATTTTCATTTTTAATAATATTTAACTTCTCGGCGGGAGAAGATTAAATCAAATTGATCTAACCATAATGGATAGATCGCACAACACCAGCATAGTGGAAGTTTGTTGTTACACGAAATGTCGTACAGAACTCATTGCTACTGAAACTTTACCAGTATATAGTTGTTACCTCTCTAAATTGGAGATCAAGTTCAGATCCAATTCAAATCCAGTTTATCACTTACTTTTTATTGCCAGAATGTTTGCCGTGTATTGTAAAGCTACGTTGCACAATATAAAAAATTAGTGTGACATTTCAAATTTCCACTATGCTGTTAATCATGTGATATGAACATTGAAAATTCATAATTACCGAAATTAGATTAAAACCCTTAATAAAATTAAATATCTTTCAAATCATCATATTAAAAATTTATAATTAAAGACAGGTGTCTATCATGATTTTAATAAAAGATTTGATGGAAATTAATTAACATGTGAATACGAAAAAAAAAACGTGAAAGGAACATTTTTAGTGGTATAGCACACTATCTAATAAATAATAAATATCTGAAATATTATCATCATTCATAACCTTTAATTAATTCATTGAATGGGATTACAAGATTTTTGCAAGTTTTATCGAAACACAACTTCACCAGTAATTGTTTGCTTTGTTTTACAAATATGGTATTTTTTACTTTGTATCTGAATTTCTGCGAACCCAATTCATCCCAGTTGCATAAATACAGTTACGGTAGATTTGATTGGGAAATATTATCTAATCATTATCAAACATAATCAATCACCATGCGAGCAAAAGTATTGATTATGCCATGCATGCATTAAATAATATCAATCTTTGCTATTATCTATTATTGAATAGCCTGCCTAAAAATATACGGTAATGAGAGAAAATAATACAAAGAATTTTTTCAATTATCATTATCGTTACATAATAATAATATATATATATAAATGTATGAAATTTCCCTTTGGATGATAATATTTGGTTAGGTTGTCTTCCACATTTAGAAATAAGAAGAAAGAAATTGATATGTAGTTCAACATACATGCATAATTTAAAGTTGACATATTTGATTGCTTTTTATTTATCACTTATTATGTAAATTAATTTTTCCTTGTTCTTAAATAAAAACGATAACGAAATTTTTTTTTAACATCCAGCTTTTGCCAATAACGGAAATGATAAAAATGCCAAAATTTGTCATAGATTTGTGTGTGTGTGTGTTTTAAATGAATGAATAAATAACGTAAAAAAATTTTTTTTGAAGACATATGAAAATCATAATCCTATCTATTGTTATCGAAATCCTATTATTCGAAAAAAAAAAGCGAAGTTGAAATACCAAATACTAATATAGATTATCCGAATCAATCTCATCAAAAAAAATAAATCGTAATTAAAAGATTAAAAAATTAAAATCAAGATTAAATATAGAGGTTTTTTAAAAATTTTTTTTTGAAGTTTGTTATGTTTACGTTTGATATTATTGCCGAAGTGCTGGGAAATTTAATAAACGACTTGTGTAAATCGCTTCCTTATGAATCCTTCGTTTTTGGAATGTATATTTTTCGAGTTTCAAAAATTTTATTTCTTCTGCTTGATCAAATTCCACTGAAATTTCAGTAGGAGTAGGATCGTTACAGATCTTTGTAAACCATGATCCAATTGTTTCATATAATTTCGAAGCTGTTGGTCGTTTCGTGGGATCATGATTCCAACATTGTTCCATGAGATCGTTATAACTTTTGGGCGCGTCTTTGCTTATCTTTGGTCTTTCTCCATCTATAATTTTTTGCGCTAGCACTTCGTTATGCGCCACATTATAAAAAGGTCTTGTCCCTGCTGCTAATGTCCACATCAAAAGTCCAAAACTGTAGATATCCGATTTGTAAGTATAACAACGACCTAATAAAACCTCAGGTGCTATATAAGGAAGCACTCCGTATATGTTATTCTCGTCAGAAGAAAACGTTTCTTCACCTTCTACTCTCCCCCCTGGAATATTTAATCCAACATCACTAATGCATGTATATATAAAATCATTTTCATTGTCAACCAATATATTTCCTCCGTGAAGATTTGCGTGGAATAATTTTTGACGGTGGATATGGTCTAGACCATTGGATATTGACCAGAGTATTTCAACTATATCGCGCCAACAAAGTACACCTTTCGATTTGTCAAGAAATTGATAAAGGTTCCCATTTTCATAATATTTCATTACCAAACAAAAACACGAAGTATTGTCTCGTGTAAGTCCGAAACAATCAATAATATAATTGCTTCGTACACAACTATGTAATTTATATAACTAAATTAATTGCATCAATAAATTTAATCAATTAGATAATAATTATTAATAAATTACATTATTAATTAATTGGAATAATTACACGATTGATGAATTCTTCAGATATATTTTGAGAATTGTTGAATCTTTTAATCGCGACCTTGATCGGTCCATTTCTTATATAACAGTCCATGGTTTTTTCCCATAATAAAATAGGCCCATCGATCCAATATGCCGAATAAATTGTACTATATAATCCTGTGTCTTCATACTCGATAAGATCCAATTCTGACCACTCTATCCACTCGAAAAATTCTACTTGAGCCATTGCTTTGGTTTGTGTATACTTTATAAATCTATCTATTTCGACATTGTTACTTGTCCATTGGCCGAATTGTCGTATAAAATATTGTTTTTCACAACTTATACAAAACTTGTACTTGATGTCACGACTACCGCACTCTGAACAAATTTTTTTTATTTTATTTGTAATAGAACTCTCTTTTTTTTCTTTAATTATTACATCTTCGGGGCTGTTGGCTTCACCCCGAAGAATAAGATGACCATCTGGCATTTATTTATAATCCGCTTATATTATTGAATAAATAAAAAAAATCTCGAGTTTTTTTATTTATCCGATTCGATAAATCGCGAAAGACTTACTCATTATATACTCGAGATGTTGGTGAAAAACTGGTATTTAGTATTAAGTAATCATCTACAACATGCTTTTCATACATGATAGCAAAAAAATTCAAATCGATATTCTACATTAATAAATTATAAATCAGTTTAAAATCATTATTTGATTTCGTCACAGTTTCAAAATTTTTAATGTTAATATATATTATGGGTCAAATTAATTATCTAACGTTGTTGAAACCCATAGGGTCAAATTATATATTAAACTTAGTTTTGGTCTGGGTCAAATTATATAACAAATAGGAATTTTTGTTACTGGCCTATCTATGAAGTTTGCAGGTCCTGT